ATTCCACACAGCACTGCTTCACATCAAGGGACTCACTTCATAGCACATGAAGTGTGGCAATGGGCCTATGCTCATGAAATTGACTGGTCTTGAGTCAGGACTGACTCGACGGCACGCAACAACAACAACAACAACAATAACCATGTTCCCCATCATCCAGAAGCAGCTGGCTTCATAGAGCAATGGAATAGTCTACTAAAAACACAATTACAGTACCATCTAGGTGGCAATACCTTGAAGGGTTGGGGAAATGTTCTTCAGGAGGCTGTATCTGCTCTAAACCAGCATCCAATACATGGTGCTATTTCTCCAATAGCCAGGACTCACAGGTCCAGGAATCAAGGGGTAGAAACGGGAGTGGTACCACTCAATATTACCACTAGTGACCCACTCAAATAATTTTGCTTCCTGTTCCTGCTACCCTATGCTCTGTGGGTATGGAGATCTTAGTCCCAAAGGGATGAACAATCCCAGCTGGAGACACAATACTGATTGCATTGAACTGGAAGTTAAGAATGCCACCTGGCCATTTTGGTTTCCTCATGCTTTTGGATCAACAGTCAAATGAAGGTGTACTGTGGTATGACAGATCCTGACTACCAAGAGGAAATGGGATTGACGGCCATTTTGGCTTCCTCGTGCCTTTGGATCAACAGTCAAAGAAAGGTGTACTATCTGGTGTGACAGATCCTGATTACCAAGGAGAAATTGGATTGACATTACATAATGGAGGTAAAGAAGAATATGTCTGGAATACAGGAGATTCTTTAGGACATTTCTTAGTACTACCATGCCCTGTGATTAAGTCAATGGAAAATTACAGTAACCCAATTCTGATATGACTGCTAATGGCCCAGACCCTTGAGGAATGAAGGTTTGGGTCACCCCACCAAAGAACAACAACCAGATGAGGTGCTTGCTGAGGGCAAGGGAAACATGGAATGGGTGGTGGAAGAAGGTAGTTATGAATATCAGCTACAACCATGTGACCAATTGCAGAAATGAGGATCTTTCTTCATTGTATATGTGCATTAAATATTTTTGTTTCTGTCTGTTATAAAGTGTGAAATGTAAACAAGGTTAATGCGTTTCAGTTGTATGCGTGTTAGCTTATCATGTTAGGCATAAATCTGACTTTATAACTGTCATTACTTAGAGATTACATATGGTTAAAAAGATGCATACAACTGCCAAGTTGACAAGGGGTGGACTGTGATAGTTGGAGCTGTGTGTCAACTTGGCTGGACCATAATTCTATGTGGTTTAAGCAGTTGTGATGTGGGTTATTCCTATGATGGGATCAGATGTATATGTTCTGAGCAGCCAATCCACTGAAAAGGAGTCTCCCAAGGGGTGTGGCCTGCTTCCAATATATTTATGGACATCCTGGAAAAAGAGACACTCTTCCGTGGATTGGGATCCTGTTGTGCTGCCTACAACTGTCTGTGAGCAAACAATCCACCATTCAGCCAGGAGATCTTGGATTCATCTTTCACTGGAGTCAACAGCTGGTATACTGCCTGCCAACCTTGAGCTTGTCAGCCCCGGCAGCTGGATGAGTCGGGAAAAGCCTCCAGCTTGATGTCTGATCCAAGAACTTGGGATTTGCCAGCTTCTATAAATTGTGAGCCATTTTCCTAAGATAAATTTCTCTTTCTCTATATGTATATATAAGTTTCACAGGTTTTGCTTCTTTAGAGAACCCAGCCTAACATACAGCCTCACTGTATAATAATCTCTCAATTATTCTGCTTACATTTAGAGGAAGATCTTTATTAACAAAAACGTGTTTCCATAGCATCTTTGTGTTGTTAGAAACTTCAACACTAGAGCTCTCCAGCAGATGAATGTGCTCCAAGATGTCAGAAATACCTTGACATAACTTATTAAATACTACAAAATATCAGATTATGTGAGGAAATAAAAAATGTACATTGGTAAATGAGTAAGGGGAGTCCAAGTTGGATGCAGTGTGCTACCACATTAAAAAACAAACAGAAAAAAAAAAATCTCCTCCCTCCATAGGCATTTAACTGTGTCCTTCATGAGCTTATGTGGGTAGACGACTGTCAAGTTTACAAGTCCATTTCATATTATTTATAACCACAGAATTTCAAAAGCAAACCAAACTATGGGGATATAATTGGCTTATCATGTTAGGGATTGAATTGTGTCCCCAAAAATTATGTGTTGTAAATCCTCACTCCTATACTTGTAGTTAGTGCCTAAAGCATTTGACTACTAACCAGAAGGTTGGTGGTTCAAGCCCACCAGTCACTCCTTGGAAGGAAGATTGGGCAATCCACTTCCATAGTAATACTGCCTCGGAACCCAAGGAGGGGTTGCTATGAGTCAGATACGACTCCACGGCACTGAGTTTGGTTTATATTTGTAGTTACAATCCCATTTTGGAATAGGATTTTTATCTTTGTTATTTTAATGAACCTCCATCAATACTGGGTGTGTTTTAAGTCAATCACCTCTGAGATATAAAACAAGCAGATTAGGAACAGAGAAGCAAGAAGAGATGGGGGAAAACAAATGCCATACCACATGAAGATCACCAAGGATCCAAGGATCAGACTCTGAAAAAGAGGCAAGTACCCTCCCTGAGAGCCAACAGGGAAAAAGCCTTCCAGTAGTGCCAGTGCCCTGACTTTATGCATGTAGCTGCAGTGTAGTAAATTACTTAGTATGGCTTTTCTACCCATAAATCATTGTAAACTCAGTGGTGGAATGAGCAACTGAGGAGCTCCTGATTGTAAATGTTATCCACCTGTGTTATTTCTGTTGGGCGTGGCACAACACAATGTTATGGGAGGCTCACTCTGTTGTTATTATTGGTTGGTTTGGCCACTCTGCCAAGCTCAAAAGGAGGCCTCCTAGAGGCAGAACTCTCTCTGACTGCTGGTTGAGGAAGACGTGCTGCTGAAAGAGACACATGCTCCTAAAAGAGACATGCGCTGCTGGGAAAGAGACGCATGAGACATGCATTGCTGAATAAGACACCGAGGGACATGCACTGCTGGAGGAGAAACTGTGAGAGACTTGGCTGAGAGACAGTGGGATGGGAGAGAGACTGAGGGTTTTTCCTAAATTTGAATTGTACCCTGGTGCTTCCCTAATAAACCCCATAATCTGTGAGATCTCTGTGGCCACTGCAGTGAATTATCGAACCCAGGAGAGAGGTGGTGGGTGCTTTGGGAGGAACGGTTAGAGAAAGGGCTGGAGGGAGGCAGCATGTCTGGCCGTGCAGTAATAGGCCTTGGGCTATTGATGGTGATTCTGTCTTCCTCTTGTGGGATTAAAGGAGGTCAGAACATGTGGCCTCCTTGCCCTTTTTGCAGTAGCCTACTAATCTGAGAAAGTAAATATGTTTGCTAAAGCCATCAACTTGTGATATTTCTGTTTTAACAGCATTAGATATCTAAGACATCATACCAATGTAATTTTGGATTAATTGTGAACATTTCTTCAAAATCATGATTACCTAGTTGCAAAGAAGTTTTATCTTGGGAAGGTTTATTAACTAGGTTGTACTCTGTATCTTAAGGAGCTCTGGAGGTGCAGTGCCTAAGGCTAACCAGAAGGTTGGTGATTCAAACCCACCAAGCACTCTGTGGAAGAAAGACAGGGTAATCTACTTTCGTAAAGATTTACCATCTCAGAAACCCAATGGGTCACTATGAGTTGGAATCAACTCAATGGCAGTGAGTTTGGTGGGTTTTTATTCCTTTACTCTGTATCTTAAAGCACATCAAACCTTAAAGAACAAAAGTGGTGCCATTTAAAGAAAGAAGTAAAAACTTTATACCTTTTCTTACATAATGGTTCAAAAACATTCAAATTAGGCACAAGGAGTTTTATGACAATTAAATTACCAGATGAAGATGATAATTTTTCATAGATATTACCATTACAAGATATCGTTGCTAGAATCATGCAACCACAGATAGAATGGAGACAACTATTTGAACAAGATTATTCTTAGGTGACTCTGGGCTTTGACTTGTTATTACAAAGTTACTAAAACTTCAGCAATGTTTCTGGATAATTTACCCTTCATATATACACATAGGAGCTCTGGTAGCATAATGCCTAAGGCACTTGAGTGCTAACCAGAAGGCTGGCGGTTCAAACCCACCAGCCACTCCTCGGAAGGAAGGTTGGGCAATCCTACTTCCGTAGTGATACTGCCTCGGAAACCCAAGGAGGGGTCGCTATGAGTCGGGGCCGACTCGACAGCATATAACAACAACAACAACAACAATATATACATATATGTGTTTATCTTTATGTACACATAGAGCTATGATAAAAAAATACAACTGGTTTTTTCCATAACAAAAAAATCAAAACTTAAGCATTTAAATGGATGTAGTATATTCAATGGATCACCTTCTCCTTGTATGCCCTTCAACAGACATAAAGAAGAAGCATGATGCAGTAGTATTATTAGCCACACACAAGGAAGCAGAAGCAGAGGCTGTATATACCTGAGTACTGTGACCTGCCAATCTCACCTCTGTTCACCTATAAAATGGAGACAACAGTACTTGCCTTTCTCCTAATTAGATTCATATGGTGGAGTGAGTAGACTACGGAATGTAAAAATATTTTTTAAGCTATAAAGAACTATTACAATCTAAGATTGTGAAATAATGATATATTCTCAAATCCAAAGTTTTGCTGCCTTGAGAAACACTTAAAAAAATAAATTACGGTCTAACTACATGTACTATTTTTTGTAACACAAACAACAATGTTTCAAAAGACAGGAAAAATGTGTTTCGGCAAAGATATCTTTTGTATTTCTAGAAAATTCACAGTGAAACATTGTAGTGTATGTGATCAACTTAGTATAAAAATACAGTTGTTAAATGTATCTTATTTCTTGAGATAAACTACGAAAAACTGCTTTAAAATTCTAAAGGGCTATCTGTAAAGGTTAATATTTTTTGCCACACACAAAAAAAGTACATTTGGAGATGGATGTTTACCTGCTCTTAGACGGTCTACTACAAAAGTAAAGCCTGTAGTTCTTGGGTGTAAGACATATTCATATTTCTGAAGTCCATTCTGTTCAGCAAAATCATTACTTCGAGCTTTGCTGTTTTCTAAAAAAAAAAGAAAAAAAATACATATATATAATGAAGAAAATAATTTTATTTTATAAACATGGCAGTTAACTGTTATTACCAAATGCTGAGCAGCAAAAGACGTAAACATTTCAGTGCCAAAGATCTTAGAGCTGACTTACTAGGATTAAAAGAATTATTAATAAGTATCCTGAAATACATTCCAATGTTTAAAAGTCTTTAAAAGACTTCATAAAGCAGTCAATATATGATGAACGCTGAAACCATATAAAATACTAATGAATTAAGATTTTCATAAAATAATTCTTACATAATGAAAACTGAAATATTAAAATATAAGATGCTAATAAAACTAAAATGTTAATAAAATAAAATGATGCAGACATCCAGAAGAAATTACCAGCAATTTGCAAAATAGATTAACTTATTTTTAACCCAATAATTTAGGCCTTCCAAGCATAGTGAAATATCTGCCTTGCTCAAGGATAGAGCATGCTAATGTTACAAACCAGAGTAGGCATATGATTAGCACATCATGTACAAACATCTGAACATGGTTTGGTTGAATATAGTTACAGAGTCAAATATATGTTCCAATTGTTGGCAAAAACTTCTTTTTCCATTCTATGAGGTAAGTTAACAAGCTCCAAGAACCAAACCCATTATTCAGCAAATATATTTGGAAAAAGTTAAGTTCAGAAATGATTTGGCCTCACTGCTGGAGATCATGAAATAGCTTCTGATGACAGCAGATGTTTGAACTTGCAATCCTCAGCTGCATCCTAAAATTTAAAGACTGTGTCAAGTCACAAAAAAAATACCTACATAAACACAATTTTTGTAGGAGTATATTTAAGATCACTAAGCCATCATAACTTCAGAAAAAAACAAATACTACAACAGTAAAATATTTCAAAGAACATTCCTATAGGTGTTACATCATTTTTATAATTGAAGGAACTGAATCAAAGAATTAAAAATACCCACAAATCACCAGCAAGTCAAAAGTAAAGGCCCTAAACATAATTGAGGAACAAGTTCCTCTCTCATTTGAGAATATCCTCATATACGGCTTTAATTTCCCTCCTTTTGTCCTGACATTTTAAATCATTTTTTACTTTATTATCTATCATTCCTCATAGAATATAAGCTTAATGAGAGTAGAGAAGTGGTTGACTTTGTTTCTTATATAAAATTTTGGGAACTCATATTCACAATGCATAATAATTTATGGAATTCATTATTTCAAAAGAGAGTTCAAGGTAAAAAAATGCAATTTATAAAAATATTTAATAAGTGAGTAGGTGACTGACCCCTAAGAGGTTGCTAAGGGAAATTAAGGTACTTGGAGAAACATTTACCATTGATACCAAGGAGATCTTTGCCTCATCTATTTCAGGCAGAACTGAGCTAATGGATTGTAGCAATTTCTGCAACTAGGCAAATCTCTAAAGATGTATACTTGATTGTCAATATTAATTTCTGATAAAATTGACTATAAGACAAAAACAAACATAAGAGACAATTATGTAATGATTAAAGGATCAATTGAGCAAGACATAAATCAGAATAAATATGCACCAGTCAGAAAGCTCTAAAATACATAAATAAGACTAACAGAATTGAAAAAGGCAAACAGATGACTCCACAGTTGTAGTAGTACATTTTAATATACCACTTTCAATGAAAGACAAAACAGTTGGAAAGAAAGATGCAAAAGAACTAAACAATACAATCCACCAACTTGACCTTATAGACTTCTACAGAGCACTTCACCCAATAACAGTATAATATACACTCTTTTCCAGTGCACATGGAACTATTCTCCAGCATAGACCATATGTTAGGCCACAAAGCAAGCCTTAATAAGTTTAAAAACATGGAAATACTGCAAAGCATATTCTCAGATCATAATGCTACCAGATGAGAAATCAACAATACGAAGACCAATGGAAAAAGAGCACACAGATGGAAAACGAATTACACCCTCCTTAAAAATGACTGGGTAACAGAAGATATAAAATGAACTTAAAAATTCCTTGAATTGGTGGTTCTGGTAAGATGGCGGAATAGGCAGAAACACTGCACAGACACTCTTCAACAAAAAGGGGAACCAATTAACACAGACACAGAAGATAATCCTGGACCACTGAGCCTTCAAGGGAAGGATATAGAAGTGGACTAAACCCCAACTAGAAGAAGAATTTCCATGAAAATACTAAAAAAGGAGATATATGGAGATGCGGTCTGGCAGCGATCCTGATAGCACAGACAGCTTGGAGATTGCCGAGTAGTGGTAGGAACTAAGAATTAACCTAAAAATCAGCCCTACTAGCCAGGGACTGCTCTGGTGGCTGGGGAATAAAACCGAAGCATCAGCGAAGAGAGGCGGGCTGAGATACAGACTTTTGCCTGTCCAGAGGGTGACACCATTTTGAATGTTTACATGGGGCTTGAGCATTTTGGATATTTAAAGAAACAGTACTCTTCCAGATTCTAAGGCATTAAGAACAGGTTCTGCTTGCCAGTAACCCCAAGGACACTCCTGACTGGACAACTGAAAAGGTGCGACATTTCCCTTGTTAGTCTTATACCCCACACCCACTTGGTGAACGGAGGTGCAGCCATCCCCCACTCCCACCCACCTTCTGGGCCCGCAGGAACTCCATCCCAGTCTGGGTGCTCGGATGGAGCCTGGGTGCGCTGCCCTGATTTCTTTCAATTTTATTTTTCTCTCTTTCTCTTTTCTACTTTTTAGTTTACTTGTTTTTGTCTGTTTTAAAACTACCATTATTAAAAATACTTTTCTCCTTTTTATTATTATGCTTTATTCTTCCCCTCCCAGGTAACAGTTTTCAGCTTTTTTTCTTTTCCCTGTTCCTGGCTGAACTTTTTTTTTTTTTCCTCATGGATAACACCATTCCTTGTTTTTCTTTTTGCATTTTTCCCAATTTTTTCTTCATTATACTCCTTTTCTACCTTTTTTTCTCTTATTGCCCTATCCCCAGATACTGCAGGTTTTCTTGTTTTTTTCTTTTTCCCTTTTTTCTTTTTTTCAGTTACTATTCCTGTGTGATAACATGGTGTATTTTCCGTCCATGTGCTTTTAGTTTTTTGATGGTTACTCACCTGTAATTTTTGTCTAACTGTGTGGGAGACAGCAACAGTCCCCATAAGACATAACTATACCCACACCTCCTGCAACTTCACTTACTGAGTGAGAGCCATCACCTCCTTCTCCACCAATGGGCCAACGATAAAAAACCACCAAGAGCCTGAATCACCCTTGGCTGCTCTTCACAAACAGTTAACAGAGATCTAAACACAACAATGCCACGATGTCTCGGAGACAACACACCATCACAGTCCACACAAAGAAGCAAGATTAAGTGGTAGGAACAAGGGAGCAAGATACAGACCTAGAACAAAACCCTGAGGATGAAGCAGCACTAGAACTCCCTGAGAAGGAACTGAAAAGAATTATATTTAGGGATCTTCAAAGGACTGACAGACAGACCAAAGAAAACAAAGAAAAAACCCTAAGAATTTTGGAATAAAATACAACAAAATGACAAAATAAATGAAAATTTAGAAATGATTCTAAATCTACAGATAGAAATCCAAAAGATTAATACTAAATTTTCAGAAAAAGATGAAACATTGAAAGGGCAAAGGAGTAGAACTGATGCAATGGAAGGCAGAATTAATGAGATTGAAGACTGAATACTTTTTTAGAAAGGGATCAATCAGAAAAAAGATCAAAACAAAGTGAAGAAAGCCTAAGGTTCATGTGAGATACCATCAAAAGGAACAACCTACATGTCATGGGAATTCCAGAAGAGGAAGAGAAAAATAAAACCACTGGGAAACTGTCCAATATTTGTTGGAGGAGAACTTCCCTGATATGATGAAAGATGAGAATATATCCATTCAGGAAGTCCAATGAACCCCAAACATGACAGACCCCAAAAGAAAATCATCAAGACATGTAATCATCAAACTCATCAAAACCAAAGACAAAGACGGAATCCTGAAAGCAGCATGGGAAAAACAAAAAGTTACCTACAAAGGACAGCCAGTAAAAATAAGCTCTGATTTCACAGAAGAAACCATGCAAGTGAGAAGGCAATGGGATGGTATATATAAAACACTGAAAGAGAAAATTTTTTAACTAAGAATTATATATTAAGGCAAAATGGTCCCTCCAATATGATTGTAAAATTAGGAGATTTCCAGATAAGCAGAAACTAAGGGAATTGGTTAAAACCAGACCAATCTCACAAGAGATACTTAAGGGAGTCCTTTGAACAGAGAACCAAAAATAGCAAATAACAACCGACCATTAATACACAAGATGACATAACCCAGAAAACACAGCTATGGATATATCCAAAGTAAAATGAGTCTAAAGGTTGTAAACAGGGAACCAGAGATATCAATTGGCAAGTGAGGACAACTACAAGCAAAAAGAGGGAAAAGACTGCAGTTACAGAACTTCTAAATGGTGAGGAAGTGAAGAGAGTTGCAAGATACAATGGACTGTTCTAAACTCAGGGAGAAAATTATAAACCATAGGGTAACCTAAAAGAAAAATGATAACCCTTCATATCACAATAAAAAAGA